AAATCATCCGTACACCGACTAAAATCAGCCATTAATCGGCTTGCTGTGGCTGGCTTTGGGTCGGCCAAACATGCTCAGCATGTGTGGCCAGGCGGTTCTGCTGCCGTTTGAATAAAAAAAACCCCACCATATTAATACATAGCTAGATTCCTATTGGCTATTTCACTTTGCAGTAGCCAATAGCAAACTAGCTATTGCACCTGCCCTCTGCTGCTGTCACTCACTATAAGGAGACCTGATGGAGAACTTCAGGTTCCCTCTGCTGATTTACAGCAGCAGTGGGCGGGTGCAATAGCTAGTTTGCTATTGGCTATTACAAATTGAAATAGCCAATAGGAATCTAGCTTTGCATTCCTATGCTGTTTTTTTAATTATTTTTCTGACGGCAGCAAACAGCTCCGATATCAGAAGAAAAAAAACAGACAACAGAGCAGGGAAAGGTTTACTCTGCTCGATCAAGAAGAGTAAAACTTTCCGGGAAAAAGTGTTTCTCTCCCGGGCGGCCGGGAGCCGTTATCTAATAGCGGGAGACTCCCGGAGCGTCTGGGAGAGTTGGGCAGTTGGTGAGGGTGCTCTCCGCACACCTTACAGCAGTCCCAGCCAGTAAAAACGATGGTGCTTGCAGTAACTGCCACGGATGGCACCGTGCAAAATACGGAAATAAAGGAACAGGTCACCAGCACTCAATTTAAATAGATATGTCCTTTTTAATGGACAATTGTGTCACAGTAATCAACAAAGCCGAAGTTCCGTCTTCAAAGCAGTAAAATGTGGGAGAGTTGGGCAGACGCTGATCTGTCTCTGCAAGTGGCCGGAGCCAGCCGTGAGATGGCTCCGCCCAGCAGTCAGTAACAGGCTGTCGGCCGGCGAATGGCTGGCCTTTCGGCCAACTTTGGCTTTCACCTCGGTTCGACTGAGCCCCTCAGACAACTTCAGGGGCTGTAGGGCTATAGTGAATAGCCCGTACAATAGCCCTTCGGTTCTACTGAACCGAAAGGGGCCTGGGCTCAAACCTTTTACTTTATTTAAAATTACACAAAACTCAGGAGTTAAACCCTAAAAATGCATTTAAATATCTTAACTATTAACAAAAATGTATCTTATTTGTGTATCACTCAGCTGTAGATACTCAATTATCCCTGAATTGGTGCTGACACTGTCCTTCCATCTGAAGGGTAGCTACTTTTGTTTCCTATGGACCTTGTGGGGGGATTTATCAAAACGGGAGCAGACAGAATCTGGAGCAGTTGTCCATGGCAAACAATCAACATCTCTCCTCAGTTTGCTCAGGTAAGATTTGAAAATGAGACAGAAAGGTTGATTGGTTGTAGTGCAAATCTGCTCCAGTTTTGATAAATTCCCCCCAGTAAGTAAAAAGAAAACTCACACAGTAGGGGGGGTTCCCCAGTTGTTACCAGAATAGTTGTCCCAAGTGCAATATTTATTTTGACCTTACGTTTTGGGGACTGCTTCAAAATGTTGGATTCCCCCTCATGTTTATCCTTAGTAACAATGGCCACACGTACAAATGGAAGAGACCCAGTGGAGACACAGACTGAAACTTCATTTGGAAAAAGTACAAATGGGGGCACCACCACAGTTTGATATAGTCCAAAATTTTGGCTTATAGGAAAGGGCCAATATGCTAAAACATCCAATGCATTTTGGGGGCTCACTAAATAATAAAAAGAAAAAATGCATTCCAATGACTATGCCTTTTTGAGAACTATAGTAAATGTGTATGACTAATAATAAATAAAACCCAATTAATAATATATATATTCATATTTTATTTAAAACACATACTTACAATATTTTATACTCTAATAATTTAATTTTCATCTATGGCTTGCGGGGATTATCACAGAGCCACAATTCATAGATATAATATATGTATTTATATTTACAAATTAGACATTACTGTAATACATGTATACACTTATTTATTTAGGTCTTTTTTTTCTTTTTAGTTGTCTGTAGGGCATATCTCTCTGCAAAAATTAATTTAATAGGCATTACCTAAGTTCACATTAGGGAAAACATTTAGTCACTGATGGCCTTCTTAGGAAGATTTACCTATTAAATGTGATAAACAGAAGATGAGCTCCATTAATAGAAATAATTTCCCTTTGTGAGACATTATAGGACAGTGGTATATAAGTGAACAATCTCTAACATTACTAGGACTGACATTCAGCATCTTTATGTGGCTGGTTGTGTATCATCTCTTTTGTCTATAAACAGGTCTACATTTGTTTACTTTTTATACAAAAAGGAGAGATATCGCCTGTATAATTATGCCAATTGCTTTTGTTATAGTTATTATTCATTTATGTTAGAGTAGTACTAGTGTTTTTCTCTGCTTTATAGGAACCTGTTTTCACTATTGTATTATAAATTCTTTATCCACCTTCATCTTTATCAATATGCATACAGGTTACAACACTCTTTAAGACATAGAACATGCTACTTACATCCTATGTTTCTGAATTATACAAAATACTTTAAATACCTTATGCCAAGAATTTGAACAGTATCTAACCAAAAATAAACTTCTAGAGAAAATAAACAGGGTAATTTGAATTTACGTATGTAATCATAAAAATAAAATGTGCCATCAAAAATAGTGGACTGCAAACATTCACCATTAATCTGACATTGTTCTTACAATCCTGCTTGCCAAATATGTTATTCAGACCATTTCATTACAATAAATACACTGCATGACCAAAAAAAGTCACTACCTGGATTTAGCTGAGCAAATAGGAAAGAGCTATAGCGGTTGCTTCAATTGGACAGGTCTAGGTTCAGCAATGTAATGTGCCCCAAAAATGAGGTCAGATTCCTGAATATACAGAATGACACGGGCATATTCTAAGATGACAATGCCAGGATTCGTCAGGCTCAGATTGTGAAAAGAGTGGTTCAGAGCATGAGACATATTTTTTACATATGGATTGGCCACCACATAGTCCAAACCTTAACCCCAGTGAGAATCTTTGGAATGTGCTGGAGAATACTTTACTCAGTGTTCAGACTCTCCCATCATCACTACAAGAGCTTGGTAAAAAATGAATGCAACTCCGGACGGAATTAAAAGTTGTGACATTGTATAAGCTTAATCAATACTAAAGGTGGTACAATGCAATATTTGTGACTTTTTTGGACAGGTAGGGTATGAATCATTTAATTTATTTATAACAATGCAAACTCTTAAGTAGCAACCTTAATAACAAACCCAGCAAAACCATATTTCTTCTGCTTGAGAAGAGAGAAGTATTGAGCCACATAGTCACCACTTTAGTGCTATAAGAAAGTCTCACAAGTACAGGAGCTTGTCCTGGTGCTATCAAAGACAGCTTTTAGAAAGTCATTGGGGTTGATTTTCTAAATGCAAATAGGCTGTTCACTTTACAAAGGAATTTGCACATCACAGCGGAAGTATACCTTAGCTTGGTGAATGTGGTGCAATTTCACTTTGTAAAGAATACCAGTCATGTGCAAAGCAAATAAAAAGAAATTGTATTTTTGCTTGCATGTCACTTGGTTGATGGAAGTCAGGACAACTTTACCTCATTCATTAAGGGCCCGTTCACACCAGTTGCACCAGTTGCAGTTGGCATGGCAAATCCCGTGCAGGCGATCGCATTGCAGTCGGAGGGCGTGGCTATGGTGCCATTCACATCAATAGCCCGCCATGCCCCCTCTTGCCTGGCAAAAAAGTGAGCCAGCCCCAATGCGATGCAGTGCGTTCTGGCCAGAATGCACTGCATCTGGTGTGAACGTACCCTAAAGTAAGAGGAAACTTCCCTTACAAAGTCTCTTGCATGAAGTGCATGAAGTGAACAGCCTATTCACCTTTAGTAAATCAAGCCCATCGGCTCAGTACACCATGTTTTAGTACTTTCATTTTAACTGCATTAGCCCTCATCAAGATAAAAAGTAGATTTTGGTTTTCTTAAGGTTTGCATAGCTGCTAATCACAATTACAAACAATAAATGTGGACTGCATATTTATTCCCATGTTCATAAAAAAAAAAAAATCAATTTGCCATGTATAACTGCTATACAAGTCATTTTGCAACTGAAAGCTATTGAAAACTTGCTTTGCATTTCAGTATGCAGTCAGATGTTATCTTATAAAAAAATAAATAGAAGGTATTTTTTCTCTTCTTCATAATCATATTCTTTTTATGCAAAATTCAAATACCCCACAAATGTGATTGGGAAACTTTTTTGAATTATTTTCAGAAGTCTGCACAAAAAAACTTTCCATGCAAAAGGATGCCAGATAACTATTCTTTCCAACACTAAGCAAGATCAGGTGGTTATATAACAGACAGACCATGTTACTAAGTAGTGTGTTCTAGAGATTGCAGGTAAGGTATACATCAAGATTTTCAGGACATGTAAGTATCTGGAAAAAATATTTGTTCAAATTCTTGCAAAGTTTAAGTTTTACTGATCATATGTAAAGTGGAACTAAACTCAGAAAATCAACATTTTCTACTCTATATGATAGGGAATTTCTTGAAATGTTTATTATGCCTAAGGAGTACCCTGAAAATATACCCATTGTCTGGAATGTCTGGAGTTCCTTGTATTTTAGTGTGCCTCGGTAGTGCTGTAGTTTGTGTTTTGTAGATTTGCAGATTGCAGGCCTATAGATTTGACTTATTATGGGTTCTAAAGTTTTTAGTAAAATGTGCAAAGTTTGCTATTCCAGCATTTTATTTTGTTGCTAAATAAGGACCTGACATTTTTCTTACAGGTATTTATCTTAATGAATGGTAGAAATGAACAAGACTTTTGTAAATTATTTTATTTTTTTGGCATTTTCTGATTTGCATCAACTACAGCACCTATTATTCTTTATTTTTTTATTCACCTATGTTACATGTATTCTGGGTAACATCTCCATCATTGCTCTCGTTACCATTAGTTCTTCACTTCAAACTCCTATGTACTTCTTTATTAGCATATTCTCTGTTGCAGAAGTTATGTTTGCTTCGGCCACAGTTCCAAAACTATTAGCTAATCTAGTAGCTGCAAATAATATGATTTCTTTCAGTGGATGCTTTACCCAAATGTATGTCTTTATCTCTTTGGGTGTGACTGAATGCTATCTTCTTGCTGTAATGGTCTTTGATCGACATCTAGCTATCAACAATCCTTTACGTTATTCAACCTTAATGACCCATGTTTCTTGTACTGGGTTAGCCATTTTTCCATGGATTATTGGATTTGGTACTGTTTTAATCCCCACCATCTCCACGGCACATTTGGAATTCTGTGGTCCTAATGTAATCGACCACTTTTTTTGTGATTTTGCTCCTCTGCAAAAGTTGGCATGTTCAGATCCCTTCATCAGCATCCTGTCTATAATTGTTGCAGCTGTATTTAATGTTGTTGTACCTTTTCTTATAATCATAGGATTATACATCCGTATCATCACAACTATTTCAAAGATTCGGAGTAATGAGGGGAAGCGAAAAGCTTTTTCTACTTGCACATCTCATCTAATTGTAGCTAGCCTCTTTTTTGGAACAGCCATCATTGTGTATGTCAATCCAAAAGGAACTAATTATGATAAATACCTTGCATTCATGTACACAGCATTCACACCTATGATTAACCCTTTCATATACACCTTGCGAAACAGAGATGTAAAGAAAGTCTTTATGAAACATCTTCTTAAAGCAGCTCTATTGTAAACTGATGATGCTTTTAAAAATACTGTAAAAACCTCTTAATACAGTACACTTTATAATATTAGAGAGAATATTATACATTTCACCCCTCCCAAACCCCAAACCAAACATGGGTGGGTTGAGATCATTGAGGACACTGGTACCCTCAGCGATACTGAAGAATCAGAGTCCTCTGTTGTAGGCAATTTGTGGTGAATGAGTTCTTTAATTCTGAAATGCCTGCGCAAGGACCCCAGGATTTAGACTATGAAGGAGAGGGACAATTAATGGTTGGCCACCCTTTTGAACCCATGATATCAGGAGAAAATGGCAGATCTCATGCTCCAATTCCAGAGGGAGCAAAAAATATGCCACAGAAGAACCTCTCAGCTGTGTTTATAGATAGTGGCAGAACCCTCTCTCATGCCCAATATGTCTCCAATCCTCAGATTTCTAAAAGGAGGAGAAGTGGCGGCTGCATCAACAATGCTTTTAAGTTGTTTTTCCAATTTGTGGCCAGGCCTGGTTGCAGGCAGCAGTCACAAGCAGTGCCTCAACCATATGACTACATACTGCTTTCTGAGTCTGAGGGTCAATTTTGCTCTGTGTCTCCAAGTTTGTGGCCTATTCCAGCGCTCAGAATATTTGTATATGTCTCTCTGAAATAATATACTCTAATTACTAATTAATGTTTATTTCAAGAAAAAATCTGCCTTATCTCTCCATTTTATATTGTGGAAAAATCAAGCTGCTTACACACTGTTTGGCGACTGCACAATATTTATTTATTATCTAAGAAATTATACAGTTTAGTTTTTTTTTTTACTTCAAAAGATTTTTATTATACTTTTCATATAAACAGATTACAAGTACATTAAAACACATGTCACTTGTCGTATGTTGTGAATCGTAAACGGAACATACTTAAAGAAATAAAGTTATAAGCATCAAGGTGGTCAGAGAGAAGCTCTAAACCGTTCCTATAATCTTATGGTTCATTGATACATAATATCTGATCAGACTTCCAGCCAAGGTTACAGAGAGAGAAGGGGGGCCTGGGGTATCTGGTTCTGAGGGGGAGAAAATATCATGGGGGGGGGGAAGGATGGAGCTAGATGATGGTGAGTCAGGGGGGGGGGTGGAAAGGGGGGAGAGGCAAGTAAAGGAGAGGGAGAGGGAGGAAGAGAATACCCTTGAAGTGAGGAGTCAGGACAGCCGTCCCGCAACTGTATCTTCCAGGTCTCATATTGTCAAAGAGTCAACATTGAAGGAAGGAGGCAGGTACGACTCAATCCACGGTTCCCACAGCTTCCTGAACTGCACCAGAGTGTCCCCTTGAATAGCAGTGAGCTTTTCAAAAAACATCACCCGCGTAACCCTGTGTTTGACTTCAGCAAAGGGGAGGTCAGGGGTCCTCCAATTTCTCGCAATGACCCTTTTGGCCTCTGTGAGGATGAATGTGATTAGTCTGTGTTGACGTATCGTGCACCCCAGAGGTTGCTTGAGCAGCAGAGCTTCCAACGGGTCCTTGCGGAACGTCTGACCCGTAACTGTGTATAAAAGTTGGTAGACTCTATGCCAGAATCTCCTCACCCTGGGACAGGACCACCAAATGTGAATGACCGAACCCTCCACCCGGCAACCCCTGAAACAGTTCGGGGATTGAGATGGGATAGCTTTAGAGATCCGGAGCGGAACCAAGTACCATCTAAGGAGCAGTTTGTAATTGGCCTCAAGAGCTTGAAGATTCATTGAGCTGTGCGAGGCCGTTGTCCAGATTTGCGTCCAGATGTCAGAGGCAATGGTGCACCCTAAATCCCTTTCCCACTTGGAGATGTAAGGGGGAGGGGAGGCGTGCAGTTTGTCCAGCAGGAGGTTGTAAAGGGTAGATATAGTCCCTGAGCCATGTAGCCCGTTATGTAGTAGTCTCTCGAATGGGGAAAGTGGGGGAATGGGTCTTACTGGCCCCAATCGGGACAGCAAAAAATGTTTAATCTGTAGATATTGGAAAGCTTGTTTAACATTTAAGTTATATGTAGATTGGAGCATTGGGAAAGGCACCACCCCCGTGTCTGAACAGAAATCCATAACCAGAGTTAGGGAGCTGGAGAGCCATAACTTAAACGCAGCAGGGTTCGAGAAGCCTGGCTGGAAGAGAGGGTTGCCATGAATAGACATCAGGGGGGTGTGTGAGGACATCCATCCCAATGGGTTTCGGAGTCCATCCCAAACTTTCAGAGTGTGTTTGAGAATTGGGTTATACAGATTCCCTCTATTTGGGGGGGGTAACCAGGGAAGGTTGAGGAGAGATATCGGGGAGTATGAGTAAGCCTCCAGAGAGACCCAAAGGGGCATTTCCGATTCCCCAAACCAGAGCACGAGAGGAGTCAGTCGGGCCGCCTGATAGTACTTCTGAAACAGGGGAAGTCCCAAACCCCCCTCCCGTTTGACCCGGTAAAGAACTGAATGTGAGACTCTAGGGAAGGATCCTTTCCTTGTGGCGTTGGAGTAGCCTAAGTCGATAAGTGGGGATTGGGATCGGAAGGACCCTAGCGTGGTATAGAAATTTGGGAAGCAGGGTCATTTTAACAGCTGTGATCCTTCCGAGCCACGATATGGAATGTTTTTCCCAAGAGGGCAGTAATGATTCAAGGTGTGAGAACAGTTTCGGATAGTTTACAGTTGGTCATAGGAGGAGGTGAGATATATCCCCAAATGTGGCAACGCATGGGGCACCCAGGTGTAGGGAAATGATTGTTGTAGGGAGGCACAGAGGGAAGGAGGGAGAGAGACATTGGGGGCTTTGGATTTTTGCAGATTAACAAAAAGGCCTGAAAGGGTACCAAATTGTTGTAGTAGGGGGTTGGAGATTCGGGAGAGAGCGCAAGGGATCTGTAAGAATTAGGAGTGCATCATCTGCGAAGAGGCTAATTTTGTGATGATATCCTGCCACCTCTATACCTGTGATATCTACGTGTTGCCTTATCGCTTGGGCGAGAGGTTCTATGGCTAGGGCAAACAAGAGGGGGGAAAGGGGGCACCCCTGCCTGGTTCCCCTGGTGATTTCAAATTTTTGGGAATGGAAGCCTTGGTATTGAACATATGCCGTGGGCTCAGAGTATATAGAATCTATTAGGTGCATAAAGGAGGGACCGAACCCCCATTTAGCTAGAGTAAAACGTAAATAGTCCCACCCAACCGAATCAAAAGCCTTACTGATATCCAGTGACAACAGCATAGCAGGGAACTTCCTCTGGTGAGCAATATGTAATAAGTGGGTCATTCTCCTAACGCTGTCCCCCGCTTGTCTACCCAGCATAAAGCCCACCTGGTCTTTGGAAATCATTTTTAAGAGAGGGGATTGTAATCTTAAAGTCATAATTTTGGTGAGTAGTTTGAGATCAACATTGATCAATGAAATCGGGCGAAAGTTGGACCAGGAAGTGTGATCTGTGTCGGGTTTAGGAATCATGCATATGGAGGACATCAGTGATTCCTTTCTCAGTCGCCCACCCTCTCGCAATGCATTGAAGTACTTGGTTAGGTGAGGGGCAAGGGTGTCTGCTAGTTTTTTATAGTAAATGGCCCTGAAACCATCAGGGCCTGGCCTCTTCCCAGTGCTAAGTAGTTTGATAGCATTCAAAACCTCTTCTAACGTGATGGGTGCATCAATTGAATTACGGTCCACATCAGAGAGGGAGGGGAGATTTAGGGAGGAGAAAAAAGCCTCCACGCTCGAGGTCTCCAGGGGACCTGTGGAGCGGTATAGCTCCCTCAGGTGTAGCCTAAAGGTGTCCAATATTTTAAGCGGGTGTGCTGTCACATGTCCACCGGGAAGCCTCAATCTAACAGGGTCACGTCTAGAGTTGGCACCTCTAAGCCTATGTGCCAACATGGTATCCGGTTTGTCACCTTTAAGATAAAAGTGATGTTTAGTCCAAGTCAGTCGGTCATTTGCAAGGTGTGTGAGACACAGGTTCAGTTCTGTTTTAATATGAAATAAGCGGGACCTATTTTCCGGAGTGGGGGTCCGCTGGAAAACCTGAGAAGCCGATTGAAGGTCAGATTCCAGTTGGTCAATACGGGATGTCCTCTCTTTTTTAGCTTGAGAGGCTAGTTGAATCAACTTACCTCTAATGGTGGGTTTATGTGCTTCCCAGACCGTGATAGGGGAGGAGACAGAGTCCATATTCAAATCAAAATATTCAGCCAGGGAAGCTTGGGCCGAGGCCATAGTAATTGGGTTGGCTAGCAGGGAGTCCCGTAGTGACCAAGTGAAGCCAGTCCTGAGGGGGAGAACAAGATTGATATTAATGTGGACCAGATCATGATCCGACCACGCTATTGGGCTGATAGTGGCTGAGGACACTTGAGGCAATGCTATATTCCGTATCAGTATGTGATCTATACGGGAAAAAACATTGTGGGGGTTGGAGTAAAACGTAAACTGTTCAGTTAGTGGATGGAGCTCCCTCCAGGAATCCACCAAGTGATATTGTGTCAGGAGGATCCGAAATCTCTTAGCTGTAGAGATATCTGCGGGTGGAGTTGCCGGATGGTTGGGGTCATGACGGTCAACATGAGGGTGTATCGCAAGGTTGGAGTCCCCGCATAACAACACTGTCCCCTTAGCATGCAAGTCAACAACTTGAAACAGGTGGGAAAAAAATCCCAGCTGATTAACATTAGGGGCATAATAGGAGACCACAGTAACCAGTGAATCGTGGATTGAGCCGACCAAGATCAAATACCTGCCCTCCGGATCTCTGACAACCTCCTGACTGACGAAGGGAGCAGAACGACCAAAGGCTATCAAGACTCCTCGATGTTTAGTGGGTGCAGAGGCTAGAAAAAAAAGGGGATAATTAGAATGCAGGAATGTCGGATTATACGATTGAGGAAAATGTGTCTCTTGGAGGCAGACAATATCAGCATTAATTTGTTTGAAGTGTCTAAAAGCTTTTACCCGTTTGTTAGGTTGATTGAACCCCTTAACATTGAGGGAAGCTATCTTCAGGGCCATGTGTATGGAAGACCTAAGCAGGGGTGTAAAGAGGAGGGGAAGAAAGGACACAGAAGAGAGAGGGACAAGGTGATAGTAGTGTGTTCAGGAGGGAGGAATGACAATACAATAGACAAGAACCAGAATTTGAGGATACTAAAAAGACCGGAAACAGTCTCTGAACCAGCAAAGAAGGATATCGTTCACTCAACAGGGATCCGGGCAAATGCCCTGTCCAAGGAAGTGAAGGGTAGGGTGCATGGATGGTACCAGAACGGGAGGCAGACCTGCTAAATGTAATAGACACATAGCCCTAAGGTAAGTGACTGAGGGACCTGGGGGTCATTAACAATCGACCTCTAAGGTGGTATCTACAGTTACAAGGGGATACAGATAGACTAAAAAGTAAAAAATAAAAGAAACATATAAAACATAAACAAGGCAAATAGACTGGATAGAACTTTACGCCCTCGGTTTGATGTGCCAATATGGAACCCACACTGCGACCATAGGATCCGTAGGGCAAGCCACCGCCAAAAGAGTCTAATAGTGAAACCACGAAACAGCAAAGGATCGCAGGAACAAAGAATGCAGAAGAGACCAGGAGCTACCATAGAAGTATCCATAGGAGTCCCAGTTCAAGAGATGGTGATGGTACGGTGTGGACAATAGGCAGTCCAGCAATCGGGGACCCACACCAAAATGAGATGACGTGAGCAGCGTCAACAACTGTGAATGGAGAAACCGAGCTCAACAACTGGTGAAAAGATGAGAAATCCAGATTGGGCAATCATCCGAAGGAATCAGCAGGCCTCGGGGAGTCAGGCGCCCTCCTAGAGCTCGAAGGTGGTGCAGGTAAGTTGGCCGGGGGACGGGTAGGCCTCTCTCTCCCGGAGGGTTGTGTCGATGTGGGGGGACAGTCCTCCGCGGCCGCATCCGTACGTCCCAGTAGGTGCAAGGAGTCCATGCATTCCCGCATTTCATCCACAGTGTTGCAGGTATAGGTTCTGCCATCATAGAAGAATTGCAGTTTAAAGGGGAAGCCCCAACGGTACCTGATCTTCTTGGCTTGGAGCACCTGGAGCAAGGGTCGGAACTCTCGCCGTCGAGCTATTGTAGCTGGTGAAAGGTCAGAGAAGATCTGGTACCGGAACCCCTGGAATTGTAATATCCCGGCCTCTCTGGCTGCTTGGAGTATTCGTTCCTTAGTGCGGTAGAAGTGAAGACGAACAATAATATCCCGGGGAGGGCCCTCTGGCGTGCGCCTTGAGAGTGCCCTGTGGATCCTATCGAACTCCAACCTCTCCAGGGGGATGTCAGGGGCCAATTCCTGGAACAACGCGGTGATCGTTGATTGCAGGTCCAGAACCGACTCCGGGACTCCTCTTATACGTAGGTTCAGTCTGCGGTCCCGGTTTTCAGAATCTTTCAGCTGTGCTAGGAGCGATAAATTGAGATTACGTAGCCGTTCCAGGTCATCCTCATGCCCTTCCACTATGGTGGTGATGTCATTGCAGCGGGATTCAAGCGTGGTAGTGCGTCTGCCCACATCCCTAATCTCTTTTATAAGCTGAGAGGTAATCTGTTTAGATACCTTATCCAGAGCCTTATGCAAGGTGGTTTCCAATTGGGCCAGCAGGGAAGGAGTGACCTCCGGGTCCGCTTGGTTGGTCTGCGGGCTGTCCTCCAGGGGATCGGGAGGTTCACTAGAGGAGAGGGAATCTTCACTTTTCTGCGACAGCGCCGGCGCCATCTTGTGGGCCGCTCGGCCCAAAGCCTCGTGGAGCGTTGGCTGACTCAGCTTACCACCCCGACTTCTAGTGCAGGACATGGTGGTATTAGTCTGTCGGCGGGGGGAGCCCGGTTCCGTAGGTAGCTGTCAATGTCCCGATAAAAGGCTGCTATAGGCTAAATAGGTCGTCGCCTCTCCCGTTCCGGCGCGGAGCTGATCAGTAAGCGTCCATCTTGGTCAGCCTCACGCATGCGCCCCTACAGTTTAGTTTTTATTTATGGATAAAACCTATCTTGTCACTCCCTCATTCAGCTTTGGTTTAAAAACTGGTTCCTGCAAGGCTTTTTGGCTGCAGAGTAGTAATATAGGCACTGGTTGGGAGAAGGATTCCTCTACACAAACTAGTCTTCCCACTGACATGCCCACTACATGGATGGTAAATCTCATTTTAGCTGTTGACAGACGGCACACAAATCACAGTAGCTTCTGCACACGAAGTTACCAAACATCTCCATGCTGCCCTGCATGGACTGCCAGTAGGGGAAAACACAAATTATTTCATATTCATAGTAACATAGTAGGTAAGGTTGAATAAAAACACAGGTCCATCCAGTTCAACCTATGTGTGTGTGTGTGCATCTGTCTGTAAAAACTTTGCTCTACTACTTCAAATATCCTTGTATATTCAGTAAATTAAGAAACTCATCTAAAAGCTTCTTGAATTTATCAATGCTATCAGTGGATACCAATGACTGTGGAAGGGAATTTCACATTTTTACTACACTCACAGTAGTAAAAAGATTAAACTGCCTCTTCTCGAACCGCTTGCTGTGCATTTGTGTCATCAATAGTTCTGGGTGCAAACATTTTATTCTGGATATTGTGGTCCCCATTAATAATTTTTAAAATTGCCCTCTTAAGTGCCTCTGTTCTAAGGGAGGAAGATTACATTCTGTAGGTGATCATCATAGCTCAGGACTTCCATCCCCTTTATTAATTTTGTAGCCATTTTCTGAACTCTGCCAAGTTTAAGGATGCCTTTCCTGAGTATTGGTGACCAAAACTGAACTGCAAACTCCAGGTGAGGCTGAACCAGTGATTAATAAAGTGGTAGTATTATGTTTTTATCGCTTGCCAAAATCCCTCTTTTAATGCAGGATAGTATCCTGCTTGCTTTCTTGGCCCCTGCTTAGCATTGAATACTATTGCTGAATTTGTGATCTATGAGGACCACCAGGTCTTTCTCCATGTCCGACTTCCCAAATGGAGCAACCCCTAAATAGTAGTTGGCAAGCACGTTGTTTGCTTCCATGTGCATATCTTTGCATTTACCAATATGGCATTTGCCATCTCTGGCTTTTATATAGGTCATGTTCAAGTAAATTGTAGTCATTTTTGAGATTTTACTCCCCTACACAGTTTATCTTTAAAAAAAATAAGTCAAGGCAACTGGACTTGCTGTATTTTTCTTGAAGACGTGCCACTGGTCAGCCAAGCAGCTTTCTCAATTCAGAATGACTTGTACAAAAAATTATCTGGGAATAAATATGGTGAATGTTGCTCCAATCCACATAATCTGTTGGTCACAACCAGGTGTTCATTGCATTTGCATAATTGGAGTCTAGAAGGTATTATTAACCTGCCCAGAGAGAGGTGTTATAACAGCATTGTATGTGGCAGACAATAGATGTCTCACCCCCCACCTCTATTCAAGCTTGGCTTCTCCATTTTTACATAAACGCCCCTTTCACACCTCTTTTAACCCCTTCGTGACGGGAGACGTACAGTGTACGTCCCGTCACAAAGTGGCTATATGACTGGCCACGTACACTGTACGTGCCGAGTTATATTAGCCTCTGTAATGCTGGTAACTGCTGATTCTCAGCAGTTCCAGTCATTAATTAATGCCTCACTATTGAGACATTCATTAATGAAATAGTTAAGCTTTTTTAAAAGCTTCTTTCTTTCATTAATGAAAGAATGAAGCCTTTACATTCAGATACGGGTTCGCTAAATAGCGATCCCGTATCTGACAGCTGAAGATAGCAGAGAGGTAGCAGTGACTCACCTCTCTGCTATTCGTTTTGACAGCTGGAGAGCCTGGCCCGATGTTAAATGATACATTTCAACCACTAGATACAAAATGTATCTCTTGAGTGAAATGTATCAGTTTTGATCGTCTAGGAACGATCAAAGACCTTTAGTGAGATCTGATTCTGACATGCTGTCAGGATCAGTCTCTAAAGTTATTATTAGCTGTTCCTAAACTTGGAGCAGCCTGATAATAACTAAAAATTTTAAAAAGTTAATTTATTAAGCAGTCATAGTGATTGCTTAATTATAAACTGACAAAAAATTTTTTAAATTGGTGTAAGTGTAAAATTAGTGTAAGTGTAAGTGTAAAATTAGGAAAATAAAGCTTTTATATATAAATATATTTGTATACTATAATTATTATTAAAAAAATTCTAAAAATAATAATAATAATCAAAACTTGCTGCTGTGGAAGAATCACACAGCAAAAATGTAAAAAGTGTGTCAGTCATTTAGGAACAGAAACTAAAAACTAGCTCAGTCATGAAGGGGTTAAACCAGTCCTCCTCCCTGTCTAGGATGCATACTTGACTGTCTTCAAAGGAGTGACCTTTTCCCTTTAGATGTAGATGTTTCCATCTTTAGATTTAGATGTTTTCCTACATCTAAAGGAAAAAAGTCACTCCTTTGAAGCTGGTTGGATGACCAGTGAAACATCTTCAAGAAAAATACAGCAAGTCCAGTTGTCTTGACTTATTTTTTACAGATATACCATGATCTGGATGAATGAGAACCTTCACAGACACTATGAGCAGATGAGGACGTCCGTATTGAGCTTGCACCCGCCCCACATGGCGTCTTGACACGGCGTCCTAGCATGGAGAGGCAAGCCTGATCTGTCCAGCGATTTGTGCGGCGAAGGGGATCAGAGAGCCGATGCCCTAGAGGAGAGCCACAGAGTGCAGAGCCGGTCCGTTTGACAGGGAGAAGGGGATATTACCCGTTGTTGCAGACTGCTCTGCTGGCATCTAAGTGGAGAGAGGGGAGAGCTGAACCAATCCAACAGATGCCAAAGCAGAGCACCAAGCAGAGAACAAAGAGCAGGCAAGGCTGGTTTCTGAAGGAATAGAAAAACAGAGATGGGGAAGAGCAGCAAGAAAAAGCCCAAGGAGCTGGAGGCACATATTCAGATGGCGGTAAAGGCATGTAAAGGCATGGTAGCTGCTTGGCTGTTTAATTTACTCATCCAGAACAACTATGTAGATCAAGGATTTTGACTTTAAATTCTGCATATTTGTTGAGTGGCATACTCAGTCAACAGTGGAAGTATATTTCCATCTCTTGCTTGACATCTTTCCTACAAACTTTGTGCAGAATTTTGAAAAGAAGCAATGAACTAATTTCATAAGCTGAAGGAAGAGGATTCTGGGAAATCCAGAGATAAAATGGTGTTTCTATGGTGGCAAGAAAGGCATGTTTGATTGGCAGCAATTGACAAGAGCTTTACAACCTAGAGTTTACCTTTAATTTCTTCATTGTTTGTGACCTTGAGGAAATCATTATGACTTCCCTTGAGTATGATTTACTGCTTCCTCCTGCACACATCTAATTATCTGCAGAACACTGAGCTTACTCAGCTCTGTGAATACACCTCAACCAAGATCAGCCACATCATCAAATTCATGCATCCCTGTAGATCTTCTCAAAATTACAACCTACTGTGGTGATAATCATAATGATTTTGCATAATAACATGGTCAGACCTATCATTTTTGTGAAGCTAATCAATGAGTAATTTCATGTGCACACACATCCTGTCACTGGACACGGGATATCTTATATAAATAGACTGGGAAGGATGTATTTATTGTAACTGTAACTGTAATTGCAGATACAGTGTACTGCAACACTGATCACAGAAATTTTAAATCATCTCAAACCACATCGATTTAAATGCTTTTATAAGGTGTATGAAGAGGAAGGTATTACCTGGTTTGTTCATTGACTTGCACTAACAAATGGTAAACACTTTTTATGACTATACAGCATTAAACTGTAACAGCATTTTATTATTTAAACGTTTTTGTTGAAGTACATCATGGATATGTTCCCTTGAGTAACTCCACTCTGCAAAAAGGTAAGAACGTATTGCTTCATTGTGCAATTGATGTTTAAACTTTCCAACCCATCATATCTCTCTTCCTACATGCCATCCGTTTATATTTCTCTAATCCTCTATACATGAACCCCTACCATATCTAATCCATCCAGCCTATCTTTCTTCATATTTCCTATCCCTCTGTATCTCTCTATTCTTCTGTACAAGAATCCCTACCACATGTAATCTGTCCTTTCTATCTTTTTCCTACTCTTCATTCCCTATGTATCTACTATTCTACACATGAACACCTACCGCACCTAATCTGTCCATCCTATCTTTTTTTTTTTTATGTCCTATCCACTTTGTCACTCTCTACTATTCTATACATGAACCCATACCACATCTAATCTGTTCATTCTCTCTTGCTCCCTACTCTCCATCCCTGCTGTATCTATCTACTCTTCTATACATGAACCCCTACCACATCTAATCTGTCCCTTCTCCATTTCTTCCTACTTTCCATCCATGCTGTATCTCTCTGCTGTTCTATACATAAACCCCTACCATACCATATTAGGATGGATCTCATCCGTCCATCCTAACTTTCTTCCTACTTCCCACCCCCTCTGTATCTCTCTATTCTTCTGAACAAGAATCACTGTCACATCTATTCTGTCCATTCTATCTTTCTTCCTACTCTCCAACCCCTACGTATTTGTCTGCTATTCTATACATGAACCCCTACCACACAGAATCCGTCCATCATTTCTTTTTCCTATAGCCTATCCACTTTGTATATCTCTACTATTCTGTACATTAACCCCCCACCACACCTAATCTGTTAATTCTATCTTTATTCCTATTTCCCATCCCCTTTGTATTGCTCTACTTTTTTATAAATGCATTTTTAAATAACCACAACATTCTGTACTTCTCTGGGGATATTGGATATCATGACAGCTGATTTCTGTGTTTTTTCTTTTTTTTCTGCCCACTAATTTATAAACCATGCCAAAACTTTGCTTCTTTCTCAACTTGTTTGGCTTACTGTAATACAACTTTACAATACATTTTTTAAAAGAAAACTACAGCATCAGGGCTAAGTTTAGACGGCATGATGCACTGAGCACCTATAAATTATGTATTTTTATACAGTTGTTGGGGAGCAACCTTTAATATTAGTTAACACACAAAGTAAAAAGAATGCTCTGCTGTGTGTAGCATACAGCCTGCTTTATGCGGGGGAAAAAACGATGAACTACCGTCTAAACTTTCAAAGCTTGTTCTCCCCATCATACATGGTAATGCACTGCAGATGTGTGTTTCAATCAAGTTTAATCAACATAAAATGAACCAATATAAAAAATAAATGGAAACCTCCATTTACAGAACCCTATACCCACAGTTGGTCCAGAGAAGGCAAACAACCTTACAAAGCATAGTCCAATTTGCTTTAAAAAATCCTATCAGATCCCCCTAAAGCAATTTGATATTCCCAGGATCAACAATTTCTGGTGTTATTACTTTTAATTGACTTTAGCCAGTTATTTATTCACTTTGCTAAGAGAAAATGTTTTTATTATTTTAATAAATCATCCCCTCTCATGTTGATGCATTGGCTTTAATGCTTTTTGAGTCACTAACTCAAATCACACATAGAGGTTAGAAATTCTAACACTTATGACACTTGTTTAAAGCATGCTTGTTTTAGGTCTGTGAATTAGGAAAATTTTAAAGCCAGTCAACTAGCATTTCCAGAATTAAATACGCAACTGCAGTCACCATATGACAGATTTGCTTTAACCAGCTCTCTACAACCATATTGTAAAAAAAAAAAAGAAAACCAGCAGGGAGCTGGACATTACATTCTGGAGTGACCTTGATAAACGTAATCCCAGAAACAGACCTTGGGCGGCCAGTGTACTTGTTAATAGCTGGGAGCAAAGCGATCCTTATATTGCTCGGTTAACACACAGTGTACAAAGCTGATCTGAGCCGCTCTGTAACATTTAATCACTGTGATGGCCAAACATAGCAATCATAGATGTAAATAGTACCAGTCTTTACATCTGAGGGCCTACCATTTCTTCTCACAACAGAGGAAGGAGGGAGGTTAATAGTGGGATCATTTTTTTAACCCTTTCACCACCCCCTGCTCTCCTTTACATCTGATCTCTCTCCTGTCTCTAGTGATCTATATATCATCCTCTCACCTCCCTTATCCTACACATTGCCCCATCTCCATCCTTGCGCTGTATGTACCTGTACAATAACCACTTCACCTCTCCTCCTTCTGTGTATAACCTGTGCATTTAATGATGTACTGTGTCTAGTCCATGCTCCATGTTTTAACCACATCAGTACTAGCATGTTTCTTCATTTCCAAAAGATTGTTGCAAAAAATGAGATCGCATTGGGGTGTCTACTTTCCAAAAAAGAGTAATTAAGGAGTTTTCGTACTGTCCTCCCATTTTTATTTACTACGATTTATAACAGGTTGGGGATTTTTTTCTAAATTTTTGGTCTTTTTAACTTTATATGGTGGTTATTAAATAAAAAAAAAAAAATATATAATTCAGTTATAAAATTATATACAAATACAGTGTATACCAAGTTATTCTCAGTGAAACAATCACAACAATTAAAAAAAAAGACTTGATAATAAAGGTGTATATACAGGCTGGTATTCATGTGGTAAAAGCTTTTAAAGGCTCCTCTGTACCTAGGTACAGATGGGAGGAAATGTCTGCAGGAGCTAGAGCAATGCACCCGCAATCCATTGATCATGGTTGCCATGCTTTACTAGCTCCTATACTATAAATAAACAAACATATTTATTTATTATGACAGGTATTTATATAACGCCAACAATTTACACAGTACATTCACATCAGTCCCTACCCTCAAGGAGCTTACAATCTAAGGTCCCTATCTCACACGCATGCATAGGGGGCCAACTTAGAGAGGAGCCAACTGTCCAGCATGTCTTTGGAGTGTGGGAGAAAACCAGAGTACCCAGAGGAAACCCACACAAGCACAGGGAGAACATGCAAACTCCTTGCAGATTGTAACCTGGCCGGGATTCAAACCAGCGACCCCAAGGCTGCAAGGCAGAATTGCTAACCACTACGCCACTGTACTGGTAATTAAAGGCACATCATTTCTTTTATGAAGATGTGTGCATTTATTATTTTTTTAAGGTGGACTTTACCTTTAAAATGGTTAAATCTGCAGTTTCATGAGAAGTAGGGAAACACTGCAGTCTATATAGGAGGGCATATTATAGTGGTAAGCATTTTGTGTATTGGTTGTGATCATTTATCTCCTGTAGCAATACACGGTGATAGACTTTCTAAGGTTCTTTTTTTCCCCACTGTATGTTTATCTATTGTTAACTGAATGGCAACATAACAAATATACTCCTATAATATGTACCAATTATGATAGGATACACAACAGGGAATTAAATAAAATGTTCCAACCCTGTAAAACCAGAAAAATTGCTTAACTACTCAAACATTTCTTATATATACATTTAATGTATTCCTTTTTCCTATTTTTTTTATTCACAACAGGATGAAGGGCAGGATGTACTTGGCTTTTTTTTACTGCATATACACCCTGGTTTGCCTACTAGAATGTTGTGATACAACGTCACACAGCAGCTGCAATCTGGCTTATGAAGACATTACTGGTTACTCGTTAAAAGGAGACATTATACTTGGTGGGCTTTTTGCTGTCCATTTAGATGTAGAATACCCACAAGTAACTTTTCAAGAAAAGCCCCCTCCTGTGCAATGCACCACGTAAGTCTTAAATTGGAGTTCTTGACATAGGAAAGGAGTGAACAACACCAGTGCCATGGGAGCAGGGATCACTGTAGTTTCAGATGGGACCAGGCTTTCATGAAGTAGTAGGCTTTTCCTTACATCCATTGCCAGGCACGTAAAACTGACTTTTTCCACACACTTAGCAAATCTAATTTAAGACAAGCTTTGCAACTGCAGTTAAGAAAAACAGTTATATCTTAGGGACAAGCAGTCACTACTACTCCAAAATGTTGGTTTTCTATAGGTCTCTAATGTTCTCAAATAC